TGTTGTTGCTTATACAGTGGCTTGCTAAATTGCTGAGACTGGCCTCAAACGTGCAATCCCCCTGCCTCAGCCTCTGAAATCACTGGGATTATAGGTGTGCACCACCATGTCTGGCTATAATACTGTGGTTTAAGGAATAACTTTTGCATGCAAAGAAGGACATTTAATCTGTAGAGCATGTTCCGACTGTGTTGGACATTTTCTAATAGTTAACCCGATTAAACAGACTGAGTAAGGTTATCCTAACTAAAGCAAGAGGCTGCCTTTCTGTCTCCTTTGGCAATTAAGTCTGAATGACGGTGGGTTTGGATGTCCGGGGTAGAAGAGCTGTGTTGATATGTGAACTGTATTGATATGGAGGGGCAGATGGTCCACTGCTAGGGTGACCTGTGATGTCAGCTCCCTGCAGGGGAGAGACAGGCTCTAGTGTACACATCCTAGTTGGAGGGACATTCCCCAGGGGAGTGGTGGTCCCTGGTGACTAAGAGCCAAGGCTCTGGAGTTGGGTGGCTGAGTCTGATCCCCACCTCCCTGCAAGTGTGTGGTGCTGGGAAGGTGGTTTAACTTGCTTGTGACTCAGTTCTCCAACCACAAATGCTGCCTGAGAGTGGCCTTCCCCTCGCAACTCTACTAGTTATCTACTGACATGTAACAAGTTACTCCAGAACTTAGTGGCTTGAAACAGCAAATATTTATTCTCTCTCAGCTTCTGAGAGTGGGAGTCGGCCACACACCTCAGCCGGCTGTCTCTGGCTGCCAGCCTTATGTGACATGGTAGTAAGCTGTGAGCCTGCAGCCTGGGCGGGGCGCTTCCAGGCTCAGTCACACAGGTGTCACAGGCTGCAGCTGCAGGTCACCCGGGCCCCTCCACAGGTCTCCCATGCAACCTAGTGGTCGGCCTCCCTGGGTAAGCGATTCAGGAGAGAAGCACCAAGGTGGAACCCGCAGGCCTCTTGCCACCCGGTCCTGGAAGTGGCGCTCCATTAGTCTCACCCACTCTTCCCTGGAAGTGTGTCCGAGTTCAGTCCACTGTCGATGGGAGAGGGCTTCACAAAGACATAACACCAAGGTGGGATGGTTGGGGACCCTCTGGAGGCTCCCTGTGATGGAAACTTGGGCTGTCATTATATCCTCTACCTATTTGTGGCCACAGGTTCCAAATTTATCCATTCACCTGTCTCTTGGACACCTGCTTCTCCAGCCCTTTCCATCTTTCTGAGTGGCAGCTCTGTTCTTAGACATGATGGAGTCAGAGCCTGGAGGGTTCCTTGGCTCCTTTCTTCCTCTTGGGCAGCTTGTCGACTTGGTCTTCAAGTTTCCTTTAGGTTCTCACCAGTTCCCACCATTTAAATTTTTTTTAAAAAAATTATTTACTTATATGCAGTGCTGAGACTCGTACCCAATGCCTCACACATGCTAGGTGAGTGCTCTACCACTGAGCTACCACCCCAGTCCCCAGTTCCAAAAATGACTTGACCGCCAGGTTCACCATATTTGCCTGTGGGCAGGGTCTCTCACTTGGATTTCTGCGGTACATCACCTGGCTCTGTTTTTGACTTTGCCCACTTAGAGTCTATTCTTCACACCACAGACCAAATGGTCCTGAAAATATAAGTCAGGTCATGATACCACGCCATTCAAAATAATTCTCTGTGTCTTCTTGCTTTAAAGTAACCATCAACATCTTGAAAAAAGCCTGCCTACAAGGCCTTTTTATGCTTATCAAATTTATTTTATGGTGTAAAATATATATGTGTAATATATGCAAGTGAATTATATTGTATGTATGTATTCTAAGTAAGTGTATATAAATGTATATTATAATGTATGTATATAAATATATTTGTATTTTTAGTTATAGATCTAGAATATATTTTCTAAATGGTGTAAAGTAGGGATCTAGTTTTAAAGGAAGAGCTGATTTTTCCAGCAGCATTTACTGGATAGAATGCCCTTTCCCAAAGAGGGGATATTTTACCATGAACTGATTGTCTTTTCCTATGAAGTCTGTATCAGATTGTTGGATTTAGCATACAGAGCAAATAAAAAAATGTTTGTGTTTGTAGAGATCTGATTTGGCTTTTAAATATCTGCTATGTGTAAAAACAACTTGAAGTATAAATTGGGAATTAATTATAAAAAATATTTCCTTAAGTCCATTTATTTGATAAATTAGGAATTAATTCTACTTAGGATGCTGTGACCTAAGTTGAAAAATTCAGTTATCTGCCAAAGTAAGAGTGAAAAATACATCTCGCGGCTCCTGGGGCTACTGTTTTTGGCTTATTTGGGTGTATTTTGATTTGCTGCTCATAAATGTCTAGGAAATTAGCACCTCAATGCTTATTGAATCTGAAACCACTGTCAGGATACCCTCCAGAATGAAATCCTTGTTTATATGGCCAATTTTCCTATGAGCTCTCCTCTCTCTGGGTGTTCAAGACCCCGGGCTTTCTTTTTCTCTTTTCTGGATTTCTGGTCTCATCTCTATCATCAGCTGGCATGAAGGAATGGGGAGGTGATGAGTATACACTCCCTTTAGTCGGTTGTGCCGGTCAGCAGCAGCACTGGTAGAGTTTGCTGAAGGAAAGATGCATATGGAAGTCCTTTTCTTGTAGGTCTGGCGTGCAGCTCAGTGGTGGACAGCTTGCCTGGCATGTGCAAGGCTCTGGGTCCAATTCCCAGCACCGAAGAGAAAAATCTTATTCCTAGGGTGGGGGTTGTTGGGGTTTGAACCCAAGCTCCAAGCTATCAGCACCCACTCAACCCCTGGGCCACACTCCTAGGGCTGCCATATTGAAATTCTTGCTTAACAGGAGGGGGTGTAGAATTTTCAGTGGTTTTCTTTGGATATAAGTCATCTCCTACTTGTGTTATGTGTAATTGAGGGTCTGCTGTAAGTCGCAAAATGAATCACTTCTGATGCTGTATCTAGAGAGATAAGTAAAAATGTAAATTATTGTCACTTGGAAGACTCCTTCTTTTTCTTCTCTATGAACAGTAGAAGCCCTGCACTGGCTATTAAAGCCTGGAGGTAACAATGGAACAATTCTGTGCCTCCCAGATAGAGTTTACTCCAAGACAGGTGATGGGAATGTAATCCAGAATTGAATTTCTTTCTTGAGGGCAGAAACAAAACAGAAAAAGAGACTACCATAAAGAAGCATTTGGCTACTGGTGAACTTTCTGTTTTAAAGCCATATTATATCATGTTAGATGGTTTCGTGGCTACTAAGTCAAAATGAGCCTGAATGATTGACCCAGAGCCTTGTACCTTTTACCTTGCTGTGATTTTAAGAGCTAGATGGCCATCAGATTCATTTGCAGAGGTTTAATTAGATGGCAAAGACCCCTCCCAAGATAGAAAGTTGGTGACACATATGGAACGCAACAAGCTATTTTTAGTTAAAAAAGTAAAAAAGATTGATACCAGCCAATAACTTGCAATGAGCTTATTACTAAAATCCTCCTCTTCCTTCCAAATTCTGTTTTTACCAAGCCGGTAAGCTAAAGACAGTTTGTCATACTTTGAACTTCCTGGCTTATGTTGATCTGAATCAATATGTTACTGTTACACATTTGAGTGGGAGCTGAGTTACACTTCATGAAAACTGTTCAGAAAACTAATAAAATCCGCACAACCCCACTTTCGGCGAGTATTGATAGCATCAGGAAAATAAAAAAAAGACTCTGCCATTTCCAGGCAGTTGCTCCTCCAGCTAGACTGAAATTTCTGTGACATTGAACTTAATCCCCTTGTTTAAACATTAACCAAGAGGCAGAGGCAGTCTTCTCCAAAGATTTAAGTGTCCACGTCAATTTAACCAGAGGTACGTGACTACCCCAGAGTCCTTGGAAGAATCATTGACTGTTCCCTAAAGTAAGAGCTTCAGAAGGCTCTGGAAAAGTCAGTTGTCCACACAGCAACCTAGTGAGACAGGCCAGCACAGCCTCCCTCGTAAAGTGGGTCACTTGATGTGATCTATGGTGATGGCCCCAGGACCTTCGGAGCATTTTACAGAGTTCCGAGTTGCAAGTATAATGTGGCCACCAGATCCTGGTCGCTGGGTGACAGCCTTCCACTGGGCTTTTTAAAAGAAAATGGGGGAAGAGCTTATAAAAGGCTAAGAAGGGATACAGGCATCTTTGGAAGACTGTTTCCAGCCTCTCAAATGGCCATTGTCAAAAAACAAACAGTAGGGTGGATTTGACTGAGCATTGGAAGACACTGGAACCACAGACTGTGACCAGTGAGCCTTGAAAGCTGCCAAAGCAGAAAGGACCTTTTCAGAGTGACCCTGTCACCCGCAGATCTGATGTGTAGGCTTCCTCAGCTGCTTGAGTGGGGCGGGAGGCATGCATATCTTACCCTTCATTTCACGCTCAATGTGCCAGGGAGCAGCTATTTCCCGCCTGGAGAAGGTCTTCCCCAAGTTCATCAAGAGGCAGACTAAGAGAAGCCCATCCGTGACCTCTTTGTAGTGCAAAATGGAAATGTCCTCTGTCTCCTACTCTTGTTGATTGGATCCTGGCAGCCCTTTATTTTAAAAATATTTGCTCAGCCAGTCTGAGTCTCTGATGAGCAGAATCAGATGAATTTTCACTTCAAACAAAACTTTCTCTACTCTGCTCTTGAAACCTACACATCAGCGCCTTAAATCATTTAAACGTCATGAATCCTTTATTTCCTTCCTTCAGTCTGTAGATCTGCAGTTTGGCAGCCCTTTCCCGCTGGTGGGGCTCCTCGTTTGAGGAGCCACCATCTCCCTCAGCGTGGGGCTGTGCTTTCCTTCCTTCTTCCTCCCTGACCCCGCACCTCCAGTATTTTAGGGCACTGTATGTAGATAAGATGTGCGAAAGCTTCGTTCTGGTCGTTAGCATGCTGTTTGAGGTCAGGAGATAGACATTTGAGAAAGGCCAGGGATTTCCCCTGACTATCCACTAACTGCTTGAAGTGGCATTTTCATTCTGACTCCATGTTTTGTTTTGTTTCACTGCAGCGTCCTGGGGCATAAGGAAAGAAATTGTCTGGAAGACCCAAAAGTAGTGCTGCTGCGGATCACGGGCAAGACAGAGCGGGCTTCAGTCTGCACAAAGAATCTGGAAACACGCATGGTTTTCGGTGAGTTGTCAGGAGGGCTTGATGTTTATTAGCTTTAAATTTCACCTGGCTGTGTTTTTTTTGGTGTGCAAGACATCTTCTTCAAGGGCCTAGCTGTCTTTGTAGCACCCCAGTAATGAGCCATTTGAGATGATGTTGTTCTAGTCACTGAAAGTCAAGAGCAACCGAATAAATCTAGTGTGCTTGTTTCTGAAATCCACTTGATGTTTGAACTGAGGAGAATACATTTGTGTTTTAAAAAAAAAGACAAAAAATTAAAAATAAAAAAAAATCCAAACAACAACAACAGACCAGCTACATCTTACATATATTCTATTGTAACTGAGAGCATAAGGGATTGACTAATCTTTCACCGAAGAGGAAATAGATTCCATCTGATGATGGAATCAAGTTAGCCTGTAATCAAGTTTTGGGATGGGCAAGGTGGGAGTCATTGGGAGTTTCCAGGTCTTGTTCAACAAATGCTTATTGAGTAATGTTTTTTTAATGGGCTGCAGAGTGATAATTCAGTACTTGTATATACGTGTAATGATCAAATCAGGTAATTAGCATTTCCATCTGCTTAACCATTTATCATTTCTTTGTCTTCTCTAGTTCTTTATAAGATATATAATAAATTGTTGCCAACTGTAGCCCTGCTGCTGTGCTGTAGAACACACCGGGCCCATTCCTACTATCTGTTTATTGAGGAACTCGTTGCTAAATGTGATCCCCTGAATGATAATATTGGTCTGGGTTTGAAGCTCAAATACTCCAAACTATAAGTAAATGATTAAAAGAATTCCAAACTATCCACCCAAATAATGCGGACTTCCAAGGATCTTGTATCAGCTTCATCCACGATGCTTCTTGGCATCTGAGTCCTCAAATGGAAGTCCAGTTTATCCTCACCTAACCTGGAGACCCAGGGGAGCTCACTCTTGGCCTCGGAATGACTCACCGGTAAAAGTGCTACAGTGTGTCTCATTGAGCTCCAAAATCTTGCAAATTTAAAATTCAGTGCCCTCTAGTGTAATCAATTAAATAATTATATCCTTTGATTCTTGCCCAACTGTATTTCCCGAGGGCCTCTGGCAAGTCAGCATCTGCAGGAGGCATGCAGTACCAGCCAGTGTGGCAGCTGGGGGGTGTCCCTTCTCCCCCCTGGCACCCATTTTGAGAGTCATTCTTTCGGTGAAGCAGGACTTTGCAGAACGTGTGGTTAATAATGTATTGCCTTGCAGCCTTAAAGAAAATGTGACACCATCTTTCGCGACGACTCCATGCCAATACAGATCTGCGTATGGGCGCCTTTCGAATCAGTGTCTTTTCTTTTTCCACAGAGGACCTAACCCCCTCCTCCTCTGTGCTTGCTGCCACAGGTCACTGATCCTTATCTGCCAGTGCTTTCGCCCTGGGAGCCCCAAATATTTCTCACATGGAACGGAATTTAGTATTTTTCTTTCTTACCAAGAAGCGGAGCTGTGAATACCACTTTCAGTGATGTTCAGCTGTCACTCTTGTTAGCAGCTGGCTGTCTGCCTCAGAGTGGTGCATTATTTGGGTTTCGTAACAGCGTTTTTTCCCCCCCTCTCTTACAAATGTTAAATTATGAAGTGCAAGAAACCACATGAATGCAGTAGAGTGAAAATGCAAACGCAGTGTTATCTGGAAATGCCAGTTTTAAGAGCCTCCTGGTGAGAGCACCCTTCCTATCATGGTCACATGAAGCCCCTGTTGGACCTGTTGGCTGGTGATTCCCCAGCCAGGTCTTCACCCCTAGTTACACCGCACACTGTGGCCACCTTCTCACGGTGATTCAGGAGGTTGGGTTAGCACGATTGCTCGGGCTCTCTGTATCCATGTCCTGCCACCAGGAAACCCGGCTCTCATTCCCAGGTCTCCCCCAAGTCCTCAGCACTTCGCTGATTCCTCTTTGGGCACATCCATAACGTTTAGAAGCTGCATTGTACAAAAAAGCTTTGTCACACCTTGGCTTTGGGGGGGTTTGCCATCTCCTTGTCTGGGCTGCACCATGGCTCCAGAACAAGAACCCGGTCACAGACCAGTGTTTCTCAAGAGGGTGGCGGATCTAGGGTCAGGATCTCCTGTATCTGAAGCAGCTGGATGTGGTCATAAAAGCTGCAGACTCAGCTACACCAGATTTGGTGAATCACACTTTTGGGGGATGGAGAACCCAGAAACTCAGCCCAAGTAACTCTTGCAAGCTGAGGTTTGAGACAACTGAGACTCATTCTGCATCTTCTTCTTGGCCCTCCTCACCCACAGCAAAGGGTCCAGGGCTGGGCACATGGAAATAATTGCTTGCTGATTTAAGCAGCATCAAACCAAGAGGGTGGCATTTACTCTTTGGTTCCCTAACCTTTTAGGGGTGGGAAGTCATCATGTTCTTTGAACTTTTAGAAACCTGGTTTTGTCGAAATGTGTAAAGCATTCTCCAAGAGGTCAGGGGCTCTTTGAGAAACTTTGCAACCACTGACTCTGTTCCTTATCATGACAGTAGCATGTGACCAGATCTGGTAGAGGTGGAAAATCTCTCTAGGGAGCTGGACGGGAGCCACAGGATGCCAGAAAGATCTGAGGAAGGGAACAGCACTCTGGTAAACTAGAAGCTTCTTGCTTGGCTCCAAAGCCACACCTGCCGCCCTTGGCCGCTTATTCTGAATGGCATTACTTTCAGCTGTGAGGACTCGCAGGTTGTCAGTTTTGGAGGCAGGAGAGCAATCCTGTTGTTGAGGGGATGAAATTAAGCGGCAGTGGACAGCACATCAAAGCGCCCACAAAGGCGTGATCGGTTCAGGATTTGCATTCAATGTTAAGAGACCGCACTGGTGACTGGAGCCCCTCGTCCCTCCTCCTTCTGTCTCTGCAAGGACAAGCCTGGCCTTGGATGACCCAGAAGAGAATTGCAGGGTGGGGCTGCTTCTGGTGCAACTCCTAAATGCCCTTGCTGGTGGTTCATCCCAGGGGGATCTGACAGTAAGTTCAAGTGGAAAACCAAACAGAATGATCTTCAGAGGCCTCTCCAGCCTTTCAAGGAACAAGGGAGGTCATCAGGATACATATCACCCTCTACAGTAACCGACTGAGTCGATCTAGTAAAAAAACAAACTCAATTGCTGCTGCTATCTCACAACATAGAACACTTCTGTAAGCACATGTTTGGGGATTCTCCTCTACCAACTCATGCACGCACACACACACACACACACACACATGCGTGTGCACACACACGCACACACATGCACGCACACACGCACGCACACACGCACGCACACGCGCGCACACACACACACACACCCCAAGCAAAGCAAACCATTCTCCTCTGGACCCCAGATGTGCATCCTCTAATTCCATCCAGTTATGACACTGTCCACCTGGGGATCATGTCAGGTACCCCAGGTACAGGGCTCAGTCCTATAACCCTGCCCTCCACTTCCAATGCCAGTTGCAAGCCCAAGCTTGTTGGCTTGTGATTCTGACTGACTACTTACATATTGGCGTTCCTACAACCTCCTCCCTGGCTCTGAGTTAATTTGAGAGCGGCTCATGGAATTCAGGGAAACACTTCACATACGTTTGCTGATGCATTATGAAGAATATTATAAAGAATATATAAAGGACACAGATAAACAGACGAAGAGATGTGTAGGGTGAGGGAGAAGGGCAAGGAATGGAGTTCTGCACCTTCTCCAGGAGGGTTACCCTTTGGGACCCTTTTCTTGTTCAGCTCTCCAAAAGTTCTCCAAGCTACTCTTTTGGGTATTTATGGAGGCTCCATTAGGTAGGCATAAATGATGAAATCTTTTGTCACTGTTGACCAGCTCAATCTTCAGCCCCTCCACCTCCCAGGAGGCTGTGGGGGATGGAATAAAGCCCCCAACCTTCTAATCCTACTGCCTTTGTCTCTCCAGGGACCACCCCCTATCTTGAAGTTATGGAGGGAACAGCCAGCTGTCAACTGACAGTCAACCAGCGTTCAAAACTCACTTTGGCGATTCCAAGGGTTTTAAGAGTTGTGTGCCAGGAAATGGTGATAGAGACCAAATTCATATTTCATAATATCACAACTGACAAGTGCATTAACATTTTTTTACAACCTTCTTTTTTTTTCTTTGAGTATTACTTAGTTACAGTTTTACTCGGAGAAATTGTGTTGATCCTGGGTTTAGTTTGTGTGAAAAGGCATGTTCCAACACAGTGTCAAAGTTTCTTGTCCCAGATCTCTATTCAGTTTCTTTTTTCTTTTGGTGGTGGGGATGAACCCAGGGCTTTGCACGTTTTACACAAGCGCTCTACCGCTGAGCTACACCCCCCAGGGTGTTTTGACTTGAGGAGTTTGGGAAGTGGAAAGGTATAACTTGGGTAGATTCTTCTCATATTCTCAGTTAAGTGAAGGGAAAAAAGAGCATGTATTCCCAAAAGCAGTGCTAAGTACTGGGGCCTTTTAATATTAGCCGCACAGAGACCCTCATGGGATTTTCTTCCTGTGTAGCTTCTTTTTTCTAGTGGGTGGGGTTGGCAGTTGTTTTTGTGGCAGAAGGGAATCACACAGGTTGTCAGCTACAGAAGACAAATGTACAGTTGTCTGCAGAAGTGTCTTTGAGCCTCTGTTGAAGCCTCAGTTGGAGGAATAATCAAGGACAAAAATTAAAGAAATATAATGTTCAGGATTTTAGCTAAATGCCAGATGTTGGCATTTCTGATCTGGAGGTCTATAGCGATGCATGGGATTTTTTTTTTTTTTTATAAGAAACCGTATTTCCTTGTGGGTGGGAAAAGAGAAAAAATTGGTTCTACAAGAACATTTGTCTGGTTAGAAAAGATGCATCATTTTCCAGGAGGTAGCCTTGAGATCTGCAGGATTTCCAAACTGCCACCTAAGTCCAGGGCACTGCTGTAAGAGGGCTGAGGCAAGCAGGAAAGGAGCCAGGCCACTCAGGAGCTGCACGGCAGACCGTGTCTAGAAAGCTCCTGCAGTCCTCTGCCTTAGTTTGGTT